TTAAAATAATTATATATAATATTAAAAAATGAAAATAATAATAAATTCTATTTATATTATTCGTGCATTAATTTGCTTGCCAAATTTTTGTTGTTCGCACCCATTGATTTCATCTTTGTTTCACACTCACAAATTTTTTATTTTTGGCATGCAAACACCCCAATGAATATGGGGATCAATCTTAGTTGTTTTAATTGTCCCGAACACCCAAGTTCTATCCATTTCAAGAATGAATGCTGTTTTGGTGATTTTGACTTTTGGTCGAAGCATTTTGGACAAATTTCATTTGATGTCGGGCCTTTTGCTCGTTGCTTTCGTCATGTGTAATTGACTCATCCTCGGAGTTGCTCTCGAGATCAACATCCAGCAAGGAATTCTTTAATTGCTAATAGTAAGTATCCTTTTACTCCAAAACATGACATGTGTAATAGCATTTTGTGTCAAACCATAAACTGACAATTACTCAAAGGCCAAATGCTTTCAAGTGATCCAGTTTCAGATTTCATGGGCACTCATTTCCAAAACATCATTCCAAATGAGCAAGATGTGTAGATGTCCCCCTTCAAACTTTAAAACACTGTACATCAGGTGCTTAAGGTTGAACTTTTGGGAGAATATCGTGGATCCACAACTTTCCGCACCACCAATTCCTTACCCTAGTATCAAACCTAGAATTGAAGAGTATTTTCCGAGGCACATGAAACTTTATAGTCAAAAGACATACTCCTTTGTTCATCCTAAACTTTAACTACAGTAAACATTCAAATTCTGTTAGTCATACACTTTCGTAAGACTTGAATTGAATGTAATGAATTGAGAAGTAAAAACCGTCCAAACCAGATCTACATAAAGCCAACTTAGTAACCATTGTATGATTGTAAGCATCCTTTCTTTGACGACGTAAATTCCTTATGAAATCCTTAATCTTCTGTATTTTATAGAGAAACATCATGTCAAGAATAATCCTGTCTATATTTAATTTCTTTGTTAACCGCTGCATCCAAGAAAACACATAAGAAATCAAAGAGCCCTTTCATTTCAATTCCTACATTGCGTTGGGCCCATTGAATTTCTCAAGTGTAGCAATATCCTTTAAAAAACTCATCATAGTGGCTGGTGTTATGAGGGTAGTCGGTTTTTTTATAATGGTTTAACGGCTTAGGCATGAAACAAAATGTTGGCTCAAGAAAAAAGTCATGAATGCATGAATCCCGCTTTGCAGCCATAAGATTCCATTTTCCTTAAGTAATATTGTAATTAACCAAATTTCCCCTGAGGATAGTGTCAGGATTTAAAAATCTGGGGTCCTTACTTCCCATGAGCGCAAGCACTCATATTTAATTACCGCTCTTAACATGTAAGAGAGAACTCTCGATTAATGATGAAATAAATTTTTAGGAAATTTACATACATACCAGTTTATAACATCCTATTTACATATCTAACACCTAAAACTTTAATATTACATGCATACCACTCTATCATATTTTAATATCAAATATACCACTTATATTTCTTTCCTTCCACTCATATATTTCATTTCTACCACTCAAATTTGATATGAAAATGAACTATGGGTGGTATATATGTAATATTAAAGTTTTAGGTGTTAAATATGTAAATAGAATAGTATTAAGTGGTATGTATGTAAATCTCCCTAAATTTTTAGGTTATTTAGTCTCCATTTTGAGAAAAATGAAGGTAAACCCGATCAAGATCCCATGGTTCCATCGTCCCGGGTATACCGTAGATTTCAATCTACCAACACTAACAATTATTGACCATAGTGTACAAAGAATCTGATTAGTAGCCATGGGCTGTCTCTTCTTAGGGATCCCATGTAGACTGAAGTGGTTAAATATGAGTTTTAATTTTATTGGGTATTTTGGGTTTTACATCTATTATAATACCCAAAAATTAATTTAGTTTGGGATTTATGACTTCGTTTAGAAGTAACCTAGGAGTTTGATTTGGAGCGGATCTTATGGCTTATTTAGGAAGAGCCCACGTATTTAGATTTAGGTTGGGACTTAAAGCTTTCATAGAAAGTAGCCCAAGAATTTGTTTTGGAATGGAGCTTACTGCTCTATTTATGAGTTGTCCAAAGATGAGTCTTATAACCTAACTCTATAACAAGACTGCTCTATGACAAGACTGCCCGAAGATTTTAATTGTTTGGGTAGGTCTTATGACTTCCCTTATGAAGTAGCTTGAAAAACGGTTCTTACAACTTAATCCTTTAAGACTAAGATGCCAATTTGTTTAAATTTAATTGTTTGGGGTTTAGGATCATCACTTTTTACTTAACAATTTTTCTAAGATGTGGGACTTATGACTTAACTTAGAAGTAGCCCGCTAGTGGGTTTTAAAACCTAACCCTATAGGCTAGGATGCCCGGGTGAGGGGTCTAGAGTTGTATTATCACCTAAACATTTCCCTTAGAGGTCGGACTTGTGACTTCTATCAGAAGTGGCCGGTGTTTTAATTAGGGTTTAGGGATTAGGTCAATTTCTACCTAAAAATTTCCCCTAAGGTCGGACTTACGACTTTCATTTGAAAGTTGCCAGGGAATGAGTATTACAACCAAGTTCTTATAAACAAGGCTGCTCGTAAATTAAATTTAATTGTTTGAATAGAAAGTAGTTGCTTGTATAATATTTGAAGATTTCTTCTGTACTTATTTGAGTTGGTTTGAGTTTATGATTTTGACACTTTGGAGTTCTGACACTGGCGTTAGTGTTTTAGTTGTTCTGTGCTCGTAGTCTTTTTACTGCTACAGTAGTCCACTACTCTACCTATTTTTTCAGCACTGTTGCTTTACTAGCTTTTTCGTACTTAGCTTTTCTTACTTTTCAGTACTTTTGTCTTACTAGTAGTAGTTAGATTTATTATTTTATAGCATTAATTTAATTAATTTATGATGCACTGATTTTTGTTTTTTTGTTTGCAGGTAAGTGATACTTGCAGCTGTTCAGGGAGCTTGCAGATAGTTACAGTTGCTCGTAGCCACAAGGGATACAGTTATAGGGGTTGGAGCCCATCAGGGGTTGGAGTGTTATTTATTTGGAGAGTTTTAGGGTTTGTTAAGGATTGTATTGAGATTTGAGTTTACTTGTATATGTCAATTAATGCAAATAATATTTCTTTTCCTGCATTTTCTTCAAAATTAATTTAATTAATCAACTAACAAAAAACAAAATCAAAATTTCTAGTTAATTGTATTAATCTCAGTTTTAAAACTTTCGAATTTTCAAAAAATAAAAACTCTCAAACTTAAAATTTTCATTTAAAATGCTCTCATATTTTGAAATTTTTTTAATTAATTAATCAAATATTCAAATTTAATTGCTCTATAATTACTCCAAAATGTTATGTATTTTTCTCGAAATTTCGACAATCTCCTCCCTACCGAGGGAGAAATCGGGACGGCACCGCCGTAATTTTTTCCTACCCAGACCTAAGGTCAACGGTGTAAGATCTTCAAATTAAAACCATAAGCCCAAATCTAAGATCGATGGTGCGGGTTTTCAAATTCAAACCATCCCGACCGGATCTAAGATCAATAGCATGGGAGCTTCAAATTTCACAACCATTCGCCAAGATCCAAGATCAATGGCGCGGGTCTTCGACACCTGCTAGCAAGTTTCTTATTTTTCTAATTTCTTCTTTCCTTTTTTTAGATATATAATATTATATAAATAAAAAATAATAATATATTATAATATAATATATCATAGTATATATATTTTATATATAATATTATATATTATAAAATAAAATAAAATTTGAATGGAGTCTGCTCGGGCACGATCAAGTTTATCATTGAAGGAGCATAGTCGAACAATAACAGAGGAAGCCGAAGAAATAACTCTGTGTAATCTCTATACCTCCTGCAAAAGCAAGGAAGCCAAATAACAATTAGGGAGCAGAGTCGAAGAAGCAAAGTCTGGCAGCCACTAATGATCCGAAGGAGCGGTTTATGCAATCTTTATTTCTCCCGTGAAGTAGAAGTCAAACAGCAACAAAGAGCCAAGGAAGCAGCTCAAGCAATCTCTTCCTTATGCGAAGTTACAGAGTCGAACAACAACGAGGAGCGGAGGAGGCGACGCGTGCGGTTTCTCTGCCCCCTGCGAAGGAACGAGGTCGGATGATAATGAAGGAGTCGAAGGATACGGGCGTGTGAAGCGTCGGCTAGGGTCGGTCGAGCGTCGGAGTCGGCAGCGTATGAAGGTGTCGGGGTCAATTCATCAGGGTCGGTTCGGCGACACAAAGGCGGGCCAGTCGGAGGTGTCGAGATGAAGCGGAAGGAGGCGACGGTGGTGAGGGAAAATGTGAAGGGCTTGAGCGACACAGATGCGACGTGAGAAGAATAGAGTGGAAGTGTCGTTTCTTTGTTCCTTTCTCCCTTTTTATAGACTGAACTGTCGAGCGGGAGTTATGGATCCAAAGAGGTGCGTCATTTGGCGAGGTGGGGCTGGCGGAGGTGGTTGCTTTCATGAGTTCAAATTTTTTCTTTTGTTAGTCAACACAAAACTAACCAAATTATCTTTTAATATGGCATAATGACATATTAAGCATAAGTTCAGGATTCATGTTCCAGACCACAACTACAGTGCTTAGTAAAAAACCAAAAAAGAATGTGGTTTCCAGCTACCATTTCTGATTTCCATAATGCTCAAGTTGTTTCGCATCTTCTGTATTTTCAGTTTTATGCCTTCAGAACAAATTCAAGGATATCCATTTTAGAAACCAGAAAAGGTATTAAAATGTGTCATTGAATCAATGTGACAATTTTCAGTCATATACAAATGTAAGGTTAAAAAATGGGGGAAAAAGAGAGAAAATGACTTATAAACCTGCTTTACAAAAGATTATAACAAGCAATCAAAACTTAGACACAGGCATTGAGAAGTCTAGCTTTGACTCCACATACTTATGTATTAGTTATATGTTAAAATTTAACAATTTTGTAGAATATTAAAAAAATTCAGATAGAATACCTCAACCACATTCAAAAAGGTCTCTAAATCTGGCGTCAATTTTCCGTTTACTTCAACTATCCATTGCAGGGCATAAAGACCATATCTGTGTACAGGACTTCCATGGCACCATCTGGTAAACAAGGTGAAAATAGATCAAAGACATATATATATATATATATATATAACAATTTTTTCTCCTAGGAGAATAATCATCATCCTCCTTCCATATAATTGTTAATGTTATGACCTTCAAATATAAGATAAAAGCTTACCACTCTTTTTTTCCTCATTAAATAATGCTAAGCAAGATTTCAACATGTCAGTCTGATCATCAAATGAAAAAGAAAAATAAAAGTAATAATAATAAGTCAATGGATGGCTTGATAACATTAGTTGTATATGATTTCTAAGTGTAAATTCTTTCAAATAGCATGGAAACAAATACATAGGTTGTTAATGGCATCTTTCATGTACTAGATAATTTTCATTGATGAAATATGCGTATAGTTTTATTAAAATAATACTTCTATATCATCCTTCTATTTTTTAATGCTTATTAAATGGTAAAATCATTACACAAATTAATGTAACTCAATCCACACATAATTGAAGAAGCTCATTGTGGCATCCCTCCCTCCATATACATATATACAATAATGTTCATTCTTGTTAAGCCGGTTAACAAATGAACTGGCACGCCAGTTCAAAGGGAACAGATGCTACAGTTCTATCTCATACAATGACATGAGCAATGAAAATGAAAGAGGGAATCAAGAGAAGTGAACCATCCACAAAGAGAGAGAGAGAGAGCTACAGTTTCGCGTAATATAGAGAATGGGGGGATTGGGTGAGTGAGCGAAAGCCACAACAATAGAGAAGGATAGGGAGAGAGGAGTGAACAAAAAGAAAGAGACAGAGTGGAAGAAAGAAAATGAAAATGCTTTCAACGCTGTCTTCGACTAAGAGAGACCAATGGACAAAGGAGAACGAGAAAAGCAAAGCTGCCATCGATGTTGCCTTTGAAAAAGAGAGAGAAGAGAACAAAAACAAAAAAATAAGAAAAAAGTGGGAGAGAGTATGTGCATGATAACAATAAGACACCATGCAATGCGACCATACACCCACATGAGTAATGAAACCAATTGCCTAATCGAGCGTGATGATGGTGAGAACTGAAAGCTAGGATTTTATTACTTTATTCTCTACAAGTACAGGTATAAGGTGAGGAAGAGGTCGTCTGAACACCTCATCAAGAGGGATACTGAGTGCAGTCTCTCAACAAGAGTCTAGGGTTTTCCATGTAAAGAGGTGAAGTGAATGATTGAAAAGGGGAAAAAAACATGTTATCAAAGTTGAGGTTGATGATTATATTTCTATCATGTAGCAGTTGCAGACTGTAATTCTTTTTATGATTTAATGTATTTATCTTGATATGACCCTTCGTATGCATATTTGATAATGTTTGTAATACTATTTTACATTGAAGAAATAATCAAATGATTTCTTTCTTTCACTTGCATAACTACCCTCATATTTTAAAAAATATTAAATGTGAAAATATCTAATTTAAATCATGCATATAAAAACTTAAAAGTAAATATAAGATAAGATAAATTAAAAAAATATATAATATAAGGAAATATAATATGCACATTAATAAAGGAGTTCACTTCTTTATAGTACTAGTTGGGGACACAATATACCCGTATGCATGAAATGAAAAAAGACTCCAAAAAAGAAAATGATTGTCTTAATGGTGCAAATTTTAGATGATGCTCTTATAATGGGTGTTATATTAAAATATATGATATGACAAATACATTCTAAAATTTTATCTTCTGCAAAATTATGTTGTCTTTAGTTTACCTTAGTATATCTATGTAAATTCTTTATAAACAAAAGGTGTAATGATCCCTTACAATAACACTTATCCATTTTATTTTTTATTTTTAAACTTTTTCTATTATAAAATTGTAATCAACCATTGACTTTTGTTGTTAACTCTAGCCATAATAAAATATTAATATTTTAGGAAAGGCTTCTTTAAATTGGTGACAAAGAGGGATTTGTCTATCGAAGAAGAGTAGTGAGGGAGAATAGACATTTAATAATAATATGTATTTGATTTCATTTATTTGATATGTATGAACTAGAATTATTTTGTGTATGATCTGCACATCAAAAAAATATTATGACTTATTAGCTCTTTGTATAATGAAAGATCTAGAAATGATTAAACAATCATCTAATCAACTATGCCGGTCTTGATATTCTAAGCTCTCGCCTTAAGTTATGACAAATGTGAGATCAAAGAAAATAGTTATTATAATAAAAGAGTTATTAGGATGATCAATGAAGTTTAAGAAAATAGACCTAAGATATCTAAAACGTGTACTCTTATTAATGACTAGATCGTCTAAAGTCACAATCCCCCCACTAGATCTATTATTATTAAATATACACTCCATATATTCAGTTTTAGATCTGCTCAAACGAAAGCCTTAAGACTCTAAGGTTTACCTCCATAATTCAAATTTACCTTCAACTCCTTCTCTAGTCTTATCAACAAGAAGAATATCATCAGCAAAAAGCAATTTGCAATGCAAAGATTTTAGCTTTTAATGATTTATTGTTCGCTCAGAAAAAAACAAAATGGAGGACTCAAACACAAACCTTGCTTACACAAGCTTAAGGTCCCATTTTCCGTGAGGTGGATTGAAGTTTAAATTAACCAAATTTCCCCTAAGAGCAATGTCAGGGTTTATTTAGTTCTGAGGTTCTACTTCCTATGAGCCCAAGTCCTCATAGTTAATTACTCCTCCTAATGCATAGATGAGTACTCTTGATTAAGGATGAAATATATTTAATTAGTGACAAAAGTGAAGATGTGTGTGTAACAATGTGTAAATGTTCTAAACCCTGGTTGTGGGGATGACGGTAAACCCGATCAAGATCCAATGGTTCTGTCATCCCGAGAATACCTTAGGTTTTAGTCTACGAACAGTATCGATTATTTATCGTGGTGTCCAGAGAATCTGATTAGCAGTCATGGGTTGCCTCCTATCAGGGATCTTGAGTGGACTGAAGTGGATATGTGTAAGTTGTTTGGTTTGGGTTGGGACTAGTGGCTCCATTTAGAAGTTGCCCAAAGTTTAGATTTGAATTAGGTCTTACGACCCCATTTAGGAATTGCCTATGTGATTGGATTTGGGTAGGGGCTTATTGATTTCCTTTGAAAGTAGTCATAATGACGGGTCTTACAGCCTCTATTAGAGGTGGCCTATATAACATGTCTTACAATTTAGCCCTATAGGCTAAGATCCCAACAATTTGGTTCAGACAGATAGGTGCTATGGCTTCTAGATGTAGAAGTTACTTGACGACGGGTCTTACGACCTAGCCTTGTAAGCTAAGTGGCCCGTATAGTGGGGCTTACAACCTAGCCATATAGACTAGGATGCCTGTTAGAGGGGTCTAAGGTTATGCTATTACCTAAATATTTTCCATTAAAAGTTAGACTTATGACTTTTATTGAAAGTAGCTAGAGCCTGGAAAGTTAGTCTTACTACCTAATCCTATAATCTAAGCTACCAAACACTTCACAGAACATAAGTGAAATAATTACCAGTAGGATTCATTACTTCTATTAGAAGCGATTTATAGGGTTTAGGTTAGCGATTAGGTTAGCGAGGACATAGCTTTACATACTTCACTATTTTAACACTAGTTTCAGCATATTGTTTAGTCAGCTTTACTTCAGTACTAGCCTGCAGTCGTTGTTTTGATACATACTGGTCAGCAGTTGTTTTCTACTCTAGCTTTCAGTATTGTACTTATTGTTTTGTGCTTGTAGCTTTTTACTTTAGCATTAGCTTTACTCTTTCCAGTATTAATTTTATTTATTCTGTGCTAACATTCGTTTACTTGTTTGCAGGTGCTCGTGGCCAGCTTTACATTAGCACTTAAATCTTTTTACAAGTATCGGCTTTGCTCTGTTTAGCACTAGTTTTACATTATCAGTTATATTTAATACACTATATTAATGCTATATTTGTTTGCTTGAAGGTAGATTGTACTTGCAACAGCTAAGAGAGTTCACAGGTAGCTGCAGGGGCTACTAGTAAAAGCCAGAGAATGTGTTGAGAGTTTTATTTTACTCAGATTGTTGTTGTTCATAAAGCTGGTTAGAAAGCAATTTGGAGAGCTATTGTTAGCTTGTAATTAGGTTGGATATGTTTTCTATTTTATTTTGCATTTTAATTACTTTAATTTGATTAATCGAAAGTTAAATTTTAATTAAAATTTAATCGCTCAGTTTGTTATTTATGTATTTTATTGATATTTAATTTAATTAAGTCATTAATTAAAAAAATTGCTCAAAAGATTTAATTAGTTTAAAAGTTTAGATTTAATTAATAGTTTCATTAATTAAATGTTGGTTAATTTTTTATTGAAATTTTTTCTAAAATTAATAAATTAGTTTTGTCAATTAAATGATTTTTTATTTTAAATTAATTAATTTAATTTAAGTTAAGTTTTGAATTTAACGTTTTGCTTTTTCAATTAATCAATCATACCTTTTAAAAAATAATGAATTTAGAGTTTAATTGTATTTTAGAATTAACCGTTTAGTTTTTTTAAAATTATTTGATTAGAATTTGATTTAAATTAATTCATCCATTTTACTTTATTAATCAATGAAACATATTTTAAATTTTATTGTAATTAAATAAAATTATTTAATTAGTTATCAAATTGATTAACCAATTAAGTGAGATTTTTTTTAAGTTCACTCAATTTAAGAAATTAAGTGTAAAAATTAAATTTATTATAAAATTGCCAAATTATCTTCCAATAATCCTTGAAATTTTTGGCAAGCTTTTGAAGCCGATTTTGTAGTTTTCTAGTAAAATTTCGGCATCCTCTCGACGTCCCCTCCTTTTGAGGGGAGGTAAGGGAGGACACTTGCCCTTCAAACCCACCCAACCGAATAGGATTCAAAAGCCGAGGGCTTTGAGACACAGTTTGGTCCCATAAATAGTCTTATGATGCTCTAATTGAGTGATTTAGACATTTCTGTTTCTTGATATATATATATATATATATATATTAATTTTATCTATAATTGTATATATGGCATACATATATAATATTAATTACCTCCTCATTCATGTTTCAAACATAGAGAGGTGTGGGTTTTTAGAAATAGAGAGAGAGCAGGACTTGGTTTGGGAGGGCGGCTTTTCCATATGGTCTCTTACTGACGGAGGCGGTCGGGTCTAGAAGGGTAAGAGCGAAGTCTCTTGTTTCGTAATCGGATGTCGATGGAACAAACGGGAGGTGGAAGCTGAATCGTACGAGCATGTCGATGGCCGAAGGCGGACCGTAAGATCCGTTCTCACAAGCAAGGCGGACAACTAGGCTTCGTTCGCACATAGTATAATCCGTTCTCACAAGCAAGTTAGGCTCCGTCAATGCGACTCAGCGGCTAGGATCATAGGTAAGAACTAGAGAACCAAAAGTTCAACTGCATGGGGGGTTTCTGTTTTCGTGTCTGTTGAATGGAGAGGTTGGCGTTTTGTGTCGTGAGAGGGGCCAACATGGGGAGTTATGTGGAGATCGTGGGAGCATGTCGGGCTTAACGAGGGTTGGCTCAATCAATTAGAGGTCAACATTTATAAAATAGATTATATACTAAGGAGGACGAAAGATAGTAGTAAAAGTATATATAATATATATATATATAATATATATTATATATATTATAATATATAATATATATAATATATATATATTTATATATATATAAAATTAGCTAAATAAAGTGATAAGAGTAGTAAAGATTCAGTTCAAGTCAAGTATTAACTATTAAGGATGAAGATCAAAAAGTGCTTTTATTAGAAGAGAATATTCAACAAAGGTGGATGATATATTTTGCTAAAATTTTCAATGAAGATTATGAGAATGCGATTGACTTTAGTGATCTTAGCACCCTAAATGAAAATAAAGATTTTTTTACTTTTATCGGCGTATTAGTTAAACCAAAATTAAAGAGACTTTAACGAAAATGAAGTGTGAAAAAGTTGTTGGACCTAATAATATTCCAATAGATGTGTGAAAATGCATAGGAGATGAAGGAATTTCTTGTCTTACTAAACTTTTTAATAATATTTTGAAAACTAAAAAGATGTCAAATGAGTGGAGAATGAGTGCGTTGATTCTTATTTTAAGAATAAAAATGATGCACAAGATTGTGCGAATTACAGAGGAATTAAGTTAATATGTCATAGTTTAGAACTATGGGAGAGAATTATGGAGCATAGGTTACGTTGTGACACTAATGTTTCTCAAAATCAATTTGGATTCACGCCAGGTAGGTCTACTATGGAAGTTACACATTTATTGAGAGGTTTGATGGAGAAGTATAGAGAGAATAAGGAGGATCTACATATGATTTTTATTGATTTTGAGAAAGCAAATGATAATGTTTCAAGTTAAATGCTATGCATGGAGAGTTCTACGTAAGAAAGAAGTTAATAATGCTTATATTATATGTACTTCTTTTGTTGATTTTTACACAATCATGATTAGTTTTATATTTATTATTCAGTTCTTTAGCTTTTGTCTATAACCATGTACTATAATTGTGTATGGACATTTGATAATGAAATGGAAGAGATTTTGTGAATGAGTTTATTTCAGTAATCTGGATATTTTAGTGACTATGCACTATGTTATTATTTGTTTTAAAAGTTTAAATTGGAAGATGAAATTTAAAACATTTTTAAAATTATATCTTGGGATTTGTCTGTCACAGTTCAACACAATATGACCTGCCTATCAATGGGTCTTATCGGGTCGGGTTGTGACATAACAATCTTTTAGAAAATATCCTGACATTCTCGTGAAGAGCATATAAGTTAAATCTAGGCATATAATATCAGAGAATCAAATTTTTATTACCAAAACGTTCAAAACAATTTCAGAATTTTACATACCAAATACAAGATCCATGAGTGAAAAAAATCTTGCTCGTGCCTTGTAGACACAAGGACAAACTTAGAGCAAAAGTACAGCCAAACCATAAAAATCTATACATATACAAAGCTCATGGGATAATATACTAAGTAGTAGGCAGAGAATGTTAATTGGATAAAGTCAGGTAGTGGTATGTAAAAAGTGTGTACCAGAGATTATGTATTTGAACTATAATTTCTTAAACACACACACACACACAAAACATATGCAACATGCCATTGAGATGATGAAACAATGTCCATATAAGGTTAAGAAAAGCCGTAAACTAAATATTGCATTCTGCCATTGAGATGATGAAACAATGTCCATATTAGTTTAAGAAAAGCGAAAAACTTACTATGCCATAACAAAGATATAAGTTCAAAAACGATATGGCTAAAGATTTGAATGGAATTATTAAATTAAAATGAAAGATATATTTAAGTAAAATTGAACTATGGAGTTACTCCTTTCACTGATGAAATTTAACAGTATATATCAATTTTAGGACATATCAACTCGCATGTTTGACATAATATTTGATGAAATCATGCCAGGATTATGTTTTCCTTGACTAATTTATTTTCATATATAGAATAAAAAAGTTGTCATATATTTGAATTCCGATCAGCTCCTTATCTTTAACCTCTCTATATTTACATGAAAAATGAATACAATGAAGGATTTAAACTAAATTGCATGAATCCCTAACAGAAAAAGCAGATGGAAATAGGAAGAAAAGAAGTAGAATAAATTAACATGGTTAGAATTTTTAACAAAAGCTCGTGCATGCAAGAACTACAAGCACTTCCAGTACCCAACCAGAAGAATGGAAAAAGATTCATAAATCCAACACAAAATTGAGGGACAAATATAATTATAATGAAGATGATGAAAAATGAACAAAATAAAACAATACCTTGCCAGGTACACACCATGCCCTTCTTCGGGAAGAAAGCCAAGGGCGCGAACCGCTGAATGGGGATCCTGAATGACGGATCCACACCAATTGACCATGCATGTTGATCCATTGCCATCTCGGACATCTGTCCCAACAAGAAGCTCAATTTCTTGGCCCTGTAAGATAAAAGACTTTAATTACAGAAATATTTATACAGAGAATAACGAGTTACAATGGTTTACCTGTCTAAAGATTGTTATCTTAAGCTTTCCATCACTATCATTGAGACGATCCAGCTCTTGGCAAGCATTTTCAATATCACGGAAGCATGTGACAGGCACTTTATTGATAGCTAGAATCATATCCCCTTGCTCTAAATGGTTTTCAGCATTTGATCCTGCCCAACAACCTTTAACACGCAAGACTTGCTTTCTTATTGGATCCTTTTTAGCAAGAGCCTGTAATGCATTACCCAACAAGTAAAATTATTCTAGAAGGAAAATGTCTTTAACAATATGACCTATAGTATACCATAAATTCTAGAGCCCAAAAAACTGTTTAGATATAAATATTTCATTAATATCAAGTAATATGAGTGGGCTTGAAAAATCAACAGATTAAAATAGATTATAGTAATATTTTAGTAAGAAACAAGGACCAAAATGATCTCCTGATTCTTTACAAAAGATTAAAATGATCTCCAACTATTTAAAAGTCTAATTTTGGTCTCTTGATTTTTTAAATAGAGACCTAAATAATCCCACGGAAGGACTAACATGGCTCCTATTTAAAGAGTTAAGGGATCAAATTGACACTTTTATATAGTTGGGGACTATTTTGACCCTTAAAAAAAAAGGGGAGCAATTCGGTCATTTTCTTTTTAGTAAAAATACATTCTTAAGAATATGATTTTAAAAGTTTGTGTAAGGTGGTAATGTCGCATGGTAAAATGGGCAATAAATAATTATCCATCATCTTCACACAAATTGATTTCATAAAAAAACGCCCCTTTAAAACCATGGAACCTCTTGCTAACTAATTAAAACATGAGAAAGGTCTTGGATGAACTGAACCTTGAATTCGGGACAATCCATGATAAAATCCTTTTTAAATACATGGAAAAGCCTTACTAATTCTCAGAACCTACAATATTTATATGATGAAAATTGGGCACTCAAGGGCATTGTTGCTGATTGTACTGTTAAAACATTCTGATTTTCTTTTCTCAATGAAAGGCATTCTAAACATTTGAAACATGAAATATCGTAACTAATTTGAATTTCCAGACAATAACTAAAAACAACATTAAAAAGAAATTACCGCTATCCAAATGTCACTCAGTCCAAAACTTCTTGCCTTCGAGAGCAATGTCGGATAAAGTTCCACTTCTAAGATTCTAACAAGAGGCATTGGTCTTTTCATGCCATTTATAAGCAGTGAAGGTCCAGCAGCACCAGAGAGTATTTTATCAAGTACTAGGCTTATAGCATAGATGGGTATACCTCTAACAAATTGATGATCTTCTAAAGAGTTACAACCATATTTCAGCTGAGATAACAATGAAACAATATGAGTATTATTTTATTATACAGTGAAAAATTCAAATTATGATTAAGTATTGCTTACCTGAGCAGAAAAACTTGACCATAATGCTTGAACTCTTCCTTGTCCATCAGTCAACACACCAGAAAATGTGCTGCCAAAATCTAGACAAAGAAACATTAGTGCTGCTATTAAAGGAGACATTCCACACACAGAGTCTGTACAACTAAAAAATAAGTACCTGTATCAAGTTCAATAACTTCCATATTTATTGCACGGTACCTTGGACAGTCAGCTGATGCAATATTTAGGGCAGCACAAGGGTTTGTTACAGTGGATTTTCTTGATGTGATTTGTAAACTTCTACTTAGTCCAACAAGATGAACTGATTCTCCACGACGCAATGCAGGCTCTGCCGGGAAAAGTCTAGACAGGTTCAACTACCAGCATTGTTTATGATTCAGAATCATGAAGTGTAAAACTTCCTACAAGATTATTTGAATTTTAAATAAACTTGAAAAATGAATGATGGGCCAGATGGTTACCATCTACTTTCAGTAAGGATACAATGTCAAATGCAAGCTATGCGATTCATTTTAATACATTGTGAATGATAATTAAGGCTTGAACATATAAACATTAATGCCCACAACTAAAGTAATGAGAACACTGCATAAAGCCCTTTAACAATCTATAAGTTCTGGCACTTCATCGTGAAGAGTGTTACCATAAAATTTAATACTATTTTAAGCTTCATTGCATATGTTCAATTTTGTCTAGGCCAATTGATATATATATATATATATATATATATATATATATATATGTGCCTAGTAATGGATAGTAAAAAGACGAGCACCTCAAGATAGGCACCAGGGCCCCAAGTCAACAGAGCTTTGTTTCCTAGTTCATCAAACACTTCGAGTATTTTTATTGTTCATTTGCATTCATATATAACTTACATTATTCCAAATTCATTCACTTAGACATAATTCTAAATATAGGTAATCATGCATATTAAGCCGTATACTTTCAAGCTTCTCATGTCATTTATGTTTATGTTATTTTGCGTCCAATATCACATCCACATTCAGCATTAGAGTCACGGTTTATATTCAAAGGCTGACCAAAGCAAAAGATAAGACATTGCACATCAGGAGGTAGGAACAAACTAATGCAAGAGTTCCATTAATAAGTTACTCATAAAAAAGGTATGTTTATCTTCGAAGTAATAACCTACGGATACAACAGCAGGCATACTTACAAAGCACAAAAAAAACATTCAACAATAACAAATGACGCTTGAGTAATCTCAAAGTAAGGCCACAACTTTTAACAATCATTTCAAAAAAAAAAAAAAAGAGATTTAAACTTTAAATATAACACTTCAAAACTTATTACTAAAAGAGATTAAGCACATTTATGTTTTAGTTAATCTTTTCATTGAAAATCACAAATCATATAATAACCGAAGCACTGTTTTGCAAATCTAAACATGTTATCTTAAGTAGCAATTGGACATAAAAAATAAGCAATGTCAAATAAAGAGGCTTTGTGAGAGAGAGTAGACTGCATCATTATAGAATATTAGCCTATAAAATTATGGGGAAAAAGATAGAATACATGCATAGATTGTGCAACTTAGTCATTAGTACATCTCAATACACCTACCTGGAAGCAATGTAGCGGCATGAACATTGGTTGCACCTGCTCCTAAACCGGAAGGATCATAAGCTACAATAGCATAGTTGTGAAGTGGATGCAAAAAAACAACCTGAAGGAGCACATATCTCAACCAAAAATACAGTTATAAATAACGTTGGAATGAGAAAATGCAAGTATTGTTTACCTCCCCAGGAATTTCCACTGGAAATGCAGCAAAAGAAAGAATTACATCAGACACTGATACAGCTACTGTGTTTCTGTCAACCACCGCCAAACCAATGATTTCTGAATGATATATAATGACTCCCGTTCCAAAAAAATGTTGTGAATGAACGCCATCAAGCATGCATGAAGGTGGCACGTGCACCTATTAAGTACAAATTAGAAATAATTTACCAATGCCAAACTATGACTAAAATAGGAGAAAACGTGATATGAATTAATTTAAAGAAATAATATATAACATTTAGCCAATGTTGCAACAAGTACTAAGGATCTCATAGCGAAATAACTACCCAATCACTGAGATAGTAAGCCCCCCTTTAGGCATCCTAGGGAGGCGAGTTGATGACAATAATTATATCAGTTATAAAACTAAATTCAAGTAATATGAATACTTTTAAGAGGAAGAATGTAAAGGTGTAACTAACTCAAGCTCATGAGCCGGTTCAAGTTTGGCTCGATAAATGACACATAAGTCAAGATCATGAGCTAACGAGCCATGCTTGAGCTAGCCCTAACTCAATTTGTAAGCTTGTAGTGGTTTGTTTAAAATTAGTTAATATAAAATATACTTAAATACCAAATTATCTCTCTTCCTTATCTCAAGTGATTTCTTATTATATATGTTCTAATTTCTCATTCTTTTTATCATCTTATTATAACAATTGTTTGAATCACAACTATCTTCTCTTTCATCATAAATAAGTCGACTTATGAATCAAATCAAACTTATAAAATTAAATTTAAGCTCAGGCTCGAGCTTGAATTGGATTAATTATTCAAAATCAAGCTCAAGCCAAAGGTAGCTAGAGCTTGACTCAACTTGTTTACATCCCAATATTATATTTATAAATATTATAATTTTTTATTTTAAAAATTAGAAAATTATTAAATATTATAATTATAAACATAAATTATATTATGTCAATAATTATAAAAGTATTAAATATTATATTTATAAATATAAATCACACACACATTTAGATATATAAAATATTAAATAAAATAATTATAAACATATATTATATCATATTAAAAATTAAATAAATATTATAATTAAAAAAAACAAAAATAATATGCATTTTAATTAAAATGCAAAATTATGTTGCATGTTCAATCCTTTTTAAATTAAAATTATAACATATTTTTTATTTAATTACATTGTACAATTGATCTTTCTTAAAATTTGTCCCGCGAGGAATAACACAAATATGGTTGCATGCAAAGAATGGGAAGGGTATGGAGGAGAACAAGCTGTAGTTGTGGGTGAGAATATTTTGATTTTTTTTCTTTTAATTAATTAATTAATTAATATTAATAATAATAACAAAAACATATCAATTTATACTTTATAATTCTATTACAAAGTTTTCGTCATTGGTGCAAATTAAAGTTGGGTCACCTTGCTCACAATTAAATTTTCGATTTTCTTTGTGTGGCGGTTAAGGCGATATGAGTGTCAATTTCAACAAGTATTTTTGTCCCAAATACACTGGTGTAGTTCATTTAGTGAATGAATGTTGTTTAGGTGCATGTTTCATACTTCGTTCACACGAAGTCGCATCCTTTGCTTGATGTTTTTACCATATTTGGTTTGGTCAACCTAGGAATACTTATGAGGTCAACAAGTGCCCTCCAATAAACATAAGGCACGCCTAAAGCAAACCATCAAAACTACAAAATACTTGACCATATGAATCTCCAAGAATTTTCTAAATGTTAAAATGAGAATTTGGCTTTATAAAATTTTTTAAGAACATTCTTGAATGTCAATGCAAAGCAGAAGTTGAGCTATAGATTAGCCTTTAATTTAACCCTTATATATTTTAAAATATCACACTTCTCTAGCATATATTTTTATGTTGTCTCATTGATAGAAATATGTTTAAATGGAGGAAACTAGAAGGAATGCCAAGTGGCAAGCTTATCAAGGAAGAACTTTTGACCATTATAGACAGCAATGACCCTCAAGGGACTGCTGAAGAGAATGACAGGCTTACACCATGGGAAATGTTTAGGTGTCGTAATATCTATGTCGACTTCCACACACAATCATTCATACTTCCCCAATTGTGAACATGATCCTTCTATGTATAGAGATCACACATAATGATAACTGCCATCATATTGAAATGTGGGGACTATACATCCCGCCATTCTACCATCCACCACCTCCTCAGCCTTTTATAGATGGAACTTCCACCCATACTGCAACATCACCGACGACAGATGAGCGCATGTTGATTGAGCCTAAGGGACACATACGTAATACGTGCTTTACATTACTCAGATATTTTGAGAAGTAATATATTCAACCAAATATTTGTGCAGGTTTTATCCATCAAAACAGCCCACACATCAGATACGAGATATCCTTCGGAGCAAGTTTGATGCTCCTATATTTCTTGGAAGAAAATCCTTCAAAAAGTGCGCGAAATGTGATTTAGGGAATTTGAGATTAGTAATTAACAGCATCGATAACATCTATGCATTTTAATTAATCTAACAAAAAATATACTATATTGTAATTTTTGATATACAAAGATATTTCTACTGGTTGCCCCAGCATAATGCAAAAAAAAAAAGATTGAGAAGCACAGATTGACTCGCCTGCGAGACATGTTTACGGACATTAGGAAGTTAGGCGAGCAACCGCTTTGGATTGATGAAAGTGTATGGGCTAACCTGACTGGAATTTGGGGCAGCTAAGATACTAGGAGGAACCAGAATAAACAAAACCGAGTTTCTGACGTTGAGGGCATAGATGATGTAGACAAAGGGGGGGTGTCAACTCATGTCCAAAATAATACGAATTTTGGCTTCCCTTGAGTCTACTATTTGAGCTGAAATTTTAGCTCATTTATGAGCTGGACTTTAGTTCATTTATTGAACTAAGGGTTAGCTCATTATTAGCTAACATTTTAGTTCATTTATTATCTTACTTTTTATTAAATGTTATTTAGAGTTTTAAAGTCTTCTTTTATGATGTCTCTTGGGGTTCCAAAAAGGGCTTTTGGAATCCCAAGTTAGGTGTTTTGTATTCCCATGCATGACTCATTGGTTTCCTCCATGGTTTCATTGCATTTGCCCCCTTGGATTCCGGCCGGCCGCTGGTTTTACCGTGTCTGGGCTCTTTCCCGAGGCTGTGGCCCCTTGGTTCCGTGCGGCCTCCTTGTTTCCCGCGGTGGCTGCATCGGTTCCTGGTTTGGGTTGATTTCTGTGAGCGTGGGGAAGGATTTCTATGCTTATGGTGCTTAGTTTCTTGTGTTAGAATTAATGTAATGTGTCTCTTGGTATTCCTCTTTCATACCTATAAATATGAGAGGATTTGTAATGTTTGAAATAGTATGATGTTATGAAAATGTTATTTTTGGATAAGCTATAACATGCGGGTTTGCTTTGGAAATCCTGCGGGCTCTTTCCACCATTCTTTCTCATCCCCTCTGGAAATCCTGCGGGCTCTTTCCAACCTTTCTTCTCGGGCTTCTAACCTCTTTCGTCTCTCCACAAGTGCCACTCCACCTGTATCTTTCTTCTCCAAGTGTAGAAACTTTAGGGTGTCTTTGAGATCGAGTCGAGTTTGTGTTTTTTAATTTCTTTTTATTTCTTTAATTTGAAATGTAAGAGTTTGTTCGTCCTTTTTTCTCGTCCTTAGTCATTTTCGTCGGTAGAAGTCTGTTTGTCTTTTTGTGATCAAGAGATATAGGCTCCCTATATTTTTGGTCGCATCAATAGATAGCACCCTCTATACTAGAGGCTCAGTTCCACACATTGAGTACGAATTTTAACAAATTTTAATAATTTATTTAGTTATGAATACTAATCTAAGTATATTGTAAAGAGGGATGCTATAGAGAACTCATTGTTCTTAAGTTGCACGCTCGCACCCACCAGTGCCAAGAGGACTAGCAGTGGGTGGACGAGCGAGCGAGGAGGGCCTATGTAAGTTAATAAGTTTACGACATTAAAAGAAATATTTTAAGTGACAATTATAAAATGATTAATCTTATGTTATGTTTTGTAGGATGAGTATACACGACTTAGAGGGAGATGTGATGGAGCTGGTGAGGGAATGTAGGATCAGCAAATTATTCCAATTACCGCATATGGTCACGGGCGGTAGATTGAATGCAAAAGGGTAAAGTTTATGGATTAGGCTCGTAGGCCTACGCATTCAAGGGACAAACCTTTGGTACCTCAAGCTTCTAAGTAAACAGACAGGAAAGCTTGGTTAGCCAATAGTTGGCTGCCCTGACAACAGAGCTAGAGAAAGTTCAGAAGTCACAATCGAACAAGCAAACGCAGCAAAGTCAAATATTAGAGGAACTTCAGAGAATCAGGGAGCAATTTAGGGGAAAAAAATCAACAACGCCCAAGGAGAGTGAGCATATGGATTCAGAGCAGATTGTCCGTGATTGTTAATATGATGTCGGTTTTTTAATATATAAGAATTGAACGATTATTTCAAAACTGTTTGATAATTGTAGAACCATTATACTGTTTGAGAATAGTTTAAGCAAAGTGTTATTAATATTTTATTTATACTTTTGTAAAATGTTGAAAAATTAGGGTATTTAACTTGTATTTAAATTGTTTTTTTATTGCTCTGTTGCATTATTGAATAATTGACATGGGGTGTTGTTTTTTTTTATTTGTGTTACATATTTCCAACAATTTGATATGACAAATTTATTATATACATTCCAGCGGATTACCGGCAATAAATTTCGCCAGAATTTCCGGCGGATAATTCCGTCTGTTTTCCATTGGGGATTCCAGTGAAAAATACCGCCCGTAAACCCTTTAAAATTTGTCATTTTTTAGCTGAAAATCGCCGGAAATCCACCGAAAACATTTCCGGTGGAAAATATCCAGTTAAAATTCCTTTCCGATGCACAATTTTCTGTCGGATTCCATTCCGTCGAAAATCCGCCGATAAACATATTTAACGGCGGATTTTGGTGATTTTCCGGTGGAAATGTCCACCGGAAAAAGTTGAATTTCCTGTAGTGTGCATATTGAGGTCAACAATAAGTATTTTAGAAATGTGGATTAATTGAAATGCAAGCATTTTAGAAATACTTGAGTTCTTTGGTTGGATGCAAATCAGATGCATTGAAATGCATTTTTGCTGTATGGTAGATTTCCAATGCATCATAATGTGGCTGGGAGTGGCAGTGATTGGAGGACAAAGTGAGGCCGCGACTCGTGAGCTAAGAGTTTCTGATTTGTAATTCATCCAATTCAGCAAATTCCAAATTCATAAAAAATAGACATTATAAATTTTTCAAATCCCCTATATAAATACTTTGTATTTCATTTACTTCAAACCAAACACTAAGATAATAATTAACTAGCATTTCTTTTACACCAGTCAAAAACATGCAACCAAACAATCCCTTTAGAAAAAAGCTTATAAATTTAAAATGTAAAATAAAGAACCAACCTCAAACATCACTAGAGCAGGCTGAATCACCTGCTCTGCCAAAGATGCGTTAGTTGCCGAAACAGCCATCTTGACTGAAAGATCATTGTTTTCAGAGCTTGACGTTTGTCTAAGAACTGGTTCCTTATATTCATCAATGTTTCCATTAGACAAAATGCTTCCTTCACTGCATGTACTGTCCTCTCTATGCCTTTTTTTGCTCACGTTTTTAATGTCATCTGTGCATGATCCTTCAAGAGCTTTATGATCAATACTCTGCTTTTTTATGCAATCATCTTCCCATTTTCCGTTACAATTATGATGCTCAAGTTCCCCCGGAACATAGTTCCTCGTTGCAGACACAGGAATAGAGTTTATTTGTGTAATGTCACTATGAAGTCTAGAAGAAAGAAGCATAGAATCTGGTGGTATTGCAGGCTTCGCTGTCCAAAACCCTGTGTTGTCATTACGAGAATATATTTGAGGATGTGCATACCATTCATGCCGATCAATTGTGACGAGGACGGACTGCAAGAAAAATAAAAAATAAAAAGAAAAGAAAAGGTCATATCAATACAGCACTATTGGTAGTTTTTGAAGATGAGAAGCATTTTAGATAAAAGCAGCGTCACCAGGAAAAATGGCAATAATTACAGCATGATAGAAGAAATTGACCACTCCGATAATTATCCAAGCTACAAATTACCTTCCCAATTATTTATACTAAATAAAACCATGACTTTAAAATATGATCCGACAATAAAAATAAGGCTAACTAATTTTTATCTGAAACAATTTTTTCAGTGATCAAGAAATTGTCCATCCCACATATCAGAACAGAGCAATAGTACATGATAATGCTAATGACACCTAGAGTTATGGTCAACGATTTTCATAATGGAAACAATAATTCAAGATGGTAAAAGAAATATTACAAACATCTTGTAAAGCACATGAAATAGCGATTAAGGACAAAACAAACATCAAAAGAAAGGGCAGATTGAATGTCAAAGTCACAGAAACAATAGGATATGCTTCTACAAACCTTATCTTAGGAGAATCGCAGGGTCGATGATAGGCTAGAAAAAAAATGACATCACTTTGTAGCATCAATGAGAGGATTTAGAAAGCCTGATCATAGATAAATACAAGAAGAGTAACACCAAAGAAGTTTTGCTTTTGGCACAAACACAAGAAGAGAACATCATCTTACTAATATAATTTACTTAGGTTAGATCAAATATTCAACTGCACTAAAAATCAAAATCAAACAAGAGTAAGCAGACCACACTCTAATGATAGTTCAGATTAGACCAAGTATGAAACCAACCACGATCTGCTCCATTTGTGATGCATTCATGTTTTTAGTTTATTTTTGTTTTAATGTATTTTGAATAATGTTAGTTGTGTTTTATGTTTTTTAAGCTATCCAATGATGGTTGGGCATCCAATGATCATGGTAGGAAAGTGCTAGGCATGGCAAGACTTGGGTTTGCTTGCTCTTGGGTCCATTTAGTCCTTGGGCTGCTTGCTGTTTTCGGTTTGGTGATGTTGCTGCTCTCGGGTGAGCCTTGGCTGCTTGGTGTTGAGCTCAAAATTCTGAATTCTACTTGGTGTTAGCTCATAAATGTTTGAACTATGTTGACCCGTTACTGTATCCAAAAAGAAAAAAATATATATACGTACCTGTCCGGCGCCGAATTCAGCACGTCGTAGCCGCTGAAATCCCGTAAATTTAGCGATCGCGTCATTTCTCCACGACCTCGCACGACCTTTGTGTCGTTAAAATGAAAAAGAAAAAAAAGAGGCAGAGACCTCTCCTCTCTCCCGATTCTCCCTCTGTCTTCTCTGTTTGACGCCGCCCCTACCAATTGGATCGGACGTTACGGACACCCGATCGGAAGCAAAGAACGGGAGTTCGCTGGCTGTTGAAGATAACTGTCTACCTTTAGCGCGTCTTCTCCGGTTCCTTCGTTGGTGTCCGACCTCGCTCCTTCAACGATACCTCCTGTAGAACCGGAAGTTACAACATTTTGGTCGGAAGTGAGAACAGGAGCTCGCGGGCTGTGTAGGAAACCTTTCTCCCACACGCGTCTTCTCGCTCCATTCGTGGCCGGTCGACTTCGCATCTTCTACGACATTCCCTACCTGTTGGATCAGAAGTTACGGCATTAGGATCGGAAGCAAGGACGGACGCTCGCTTGCTCTGAAGGAAAACTTCTCCCTTTCACGTCTCCTTCGGTGCCGGCCGACTTTGCTCCCTCGACGTTGCTCCCTTACCTGTCGGATTGGAAGTTATACATTTTGATCGGAAACAGGGAGGAGAGCTCGTCGGCAGTGAAGGTAACCATCTCCCTTACACGCAACTCCTCGGCCGAATCCCGAACAGAGAGGGTAGAGGGAGAGAGGATTTAATTAATTTTAATTATAATATTTTAATTAATTATAGTTAATATAATTAATTATAATTAGTTTTAATTAAATGATTATAATTATTGATAAGTTAATTATAATTAATTTAATTAAAATTAATTTAAATTAATTATAACCTTTTAATTATTTATAATTAATTATTATTAATTAATTAAAGTTAATTATAATCAATTACTAATTATGATTAAATTAATTAATTATATTTAATTAATTTTTAATCTTAATTAATAATTACTTATGATTATTCATACTTAATTATTAATTAATTACTAATTATGATTAATTTCAATTAATTGTAATTAATTAGTTTAATTATAATTAATAATTAATTATTATTAAGTATAATTAGTTATAGTTAATTTTTTTATGAAAAAAAAGAGAGACCTCTCTCTCCCTCAGTTCACGTGCTAACATCTACAACCCCGCGAAGGTACGAATTTTTCTGAAACTTATATTCTCGCTCTCGAAGTTAGCGGCGGACCGAAAAATCGCCCATGCAAGAACTCAGATCATAAAGTCCTCGCAAAATGAGGGCGAAATCTCTGGGTAGTGTCTTATCTACAAATCCATCTGCCTTCCAAAATTTACCCCGGAACTTATTTCGTTAAAACTCCCTTGCTCAAATCAAAAGAAATCGCGCGGCGGGGAGGCCGGGGCCGAATTTTCGGAGCCCACAAACTAAAGTTTAGCTCAATGATTGGGGAATAAATGCACTTCCTAGCTCATTAAATAAAAAAGGTATGCTATTATTTCAAGCTTATTATTGTGGAGTGGACTTGTGTCTCTTCCCTTCCCTTTGCCTTTTCGGTTTCTGCTATCTGTTGTTGTTCCCATGGCCTTTCCTCTCGGTTTTCCCCTCCTGGCTGTTTTTCCCGTGAAATGCTGCTTTGTCTCCTGTGCTGGCTCTACGGGTCCCTTGCTGGCTAGCTTCCCGTGGCTGCTGGTGGGATTTTCTGTGGTTTGTTTCCCAGTTTTCTGTGCAGAAATTCTGCTCGCTATTATGTGTCTTTTGGCCTTTCATTTCCCCAATTCTAATTGGATTTGGTTGGAGGTGCTATGACTGTTTATCTACCTTCTTTTGCCTATAAAATAGAGTTGTTTTGGGATGGAAAAGGTTGTTGAAAAGCTGAGTAAAAACTCTACAAAAATCTGAGGGTTTCTCCTTAGAAAAGCTTAAGAGCTTATTCCACTCCCCCTTTCTTCCTCTCTAATTCGTCTTGGCTTCTAACCTCTTCTTCTCTGCACAAGTTCCACTCCACCAGTATCCTTCTTCTTAAGCTTTCGAAGTTGTTTGTTGGCTGAAATTTGGAGACATTTGCCGGAGGAGTTTGTGTGATAACCCCTAGATCTAACTTGGAATAATTATTCTTTTAATCATTTATAAAATCAACTACCAGAGCTATCTATGATCATCCATCAGTAATAAACAATACAACATAGTTTATAATTTAAAACATCAATGTAAACATTTCTATTCATTCCCAAAAGTCAATTACAATACTCAAGATCTACACATAAATCATACATCAATCCAGTCCTGAGTACAAATGAATAACTATAACAAAAGAAACAAAAACTTGAAGATTCCTTATCAATCTCTCACTCCTGCTCCCTTGCCCTGACCTAAAATCATTAACTAAATATAATGAGCTTAAAAAGTCCAGCAGGTCACCAAATACCTACAACTGAAATCAAAGCACGGTACAGAAACAATATGCATGTCAATCAATCAAATCATAGCAATCACTTTCACATGATCATTGAGTCAATGCAAAAACATAAATCAATGCATAAACAGTAATCAATGCAGAAACGGTAGTCAATATAGAAGCAGATGAATCCACAATCATCAGTAATATAATTAATAAACAGTACACGAAAATCGTCATATTCGTAACATCAGTTAAATCATTAGAGAAATCATCGTATCCATCATACCAATCAATAAACAGTAGAAAAATCTGTAAATCCATAACCCAGTACATACATCAAATCTCTATTCGAATCATTGTGTCTATGACCTCAATCAAATTACTAGAGAAAGTATCGTGTCAGTAATAGTGATCAAATCAGTCAATAAATCATCGTGTCAGTAATAGCAATCAAATCAGTCAATAAATCATCGTGTCAGTAATATCAGACGGTATAAAACATCAAATCAATACTACAGTTCGTGACTGTTGAAATCAAATCAATGCAGTAAAATCGTATAAAAACGTACACTTGCAAATCCAGCTATTCAATATCACATGTTCAGTGTATCACATACAATCCAGTAATCTACATCACGTGTTCAGTGAATCATATGTTACTTGCTTAGTACATCACATGCATAATGTCAGTACAGTAAATCAGTAGTATCAGTGCATGTATCAGTATCAGTAACAATCCAGTGGCATGAGCAGTAATGCAATAACAGTGAAATCGTACAGTAATAGTAAATCAGTACAGTAACGATAAATCCGTATAGTAGTAATAAATTCGTACAGTAATGAAAAAAAATGATGAAACACATGCTTTTCAGTAATCACTCTCAACAAGTAAAAGCACTGGCTATTACGGTGTTTTTCAGTCTTATATCAGTATCTTATATAATTATCCGTTGGCTCAGTAAACAGAGTCGTCACTCTTTGCTTGTCGACACAGTAATCATCTCCTTATAACTCCCAATCAGTAATCACGTGATCAGTAGATGATAACACCAAACCGTACTTAAAGGAAAGCCCGTCGACCCACCATTCTATACAGGTCAATCAGTCTCCAACCAACGGTTCAATCAGTCTTTACTTGTCTTTACACATACAATTATATCACAGTAAAATAACAGTAATTTCAATCATATAACCACATTCGTTTACATCTCATCAATGCATTGTATCAAACAGACATAATTTAGTTTAATTTAGAAAACCCTTAAAATATCGTACAGTAGATAGATGTTATAAAATGCACAGTTTCAGAAAATTACCAAATTACAAGAGATCGTATAAAACAACATTTTAAAGCTTTTATGGTACTCACATAATTCAGAATAACCGGTGAAAAATCTCCAAAAATATTCAAAACGTGCAAAATCATATTCTCTACTACATACA